TTTCCTCTCCCTATGACCTTGGACCTCCTCGCTCAAGTCTTCCATCACATCAACTGGATAAGGAGAAGATGTTACTTATGGGTTATGGGATGAAGAATTTTATATTTCTTAATTAAGAGGGATGAAGAAATTATGAAATTGTTTATTACTTGTTACGATGATGGTGGAGTTTTTTTGTATTCTTTCTTTTCTTTTTTCTTTTACTTTATGTTATCTTTTATTCTTTTTAAAATCTTAATACAATTATTGGAAAAAAATACAGTATACTCCACTGACGTGTGCCTGCATGGTCATAGAATGTATGAGCTGGTGACCTAGCTCAACTATTTGTTCAGTGTGCAGGACTCCGCTGAACCATCCCTAACAAGTGGCCATCAGCACCATTTGAAGCCTCCAGTGAGAAAGAATCTAGCTCTATCCTGGCAGGCTGTTCTAGTGCATTATATATGTAAGACCAGTAAGCATATAATGGCTTACATTAATATAGTGTATGAATGGTATTCCTCCTTCCATCCTCAGGAACAGTTGTGGGAGTTGTTCTCTATACAGGGCAGGAGTTGCGCAGTGTCATGAACACATCAAATCCACGGAGTAAGGTAAGGGAAGTGATTTCCTCATCTCTTTCATATGGCCCATTTTAGATGCCTGATCATATCTGTCACACATTTCACATGAGTCACTCAGGTGTGCATATAAAACATCTTAGATGAAAAATGTAATGTATGAGTTGGTGCTGCTCAGACAGTGGCTTCATGTCAACCAGTTCCCACAGGAGGATTATAGAAACTAGCTTCTTGGACATTCATATCAATATCAACTATGTGTCTGCACACAGAAAACAGTGTCAGGGAGAAGGGTTTAGCTTAGTTTATTTATTACAGTCAAAGGACAGCTTATCAAAGTAAAAAGAAAAAATTCGAGTACAGTATAGTATTACAAATATAAACTTTATAAAAAGTTACAACTAAAAACTCATTCCTGTTTCCCTCTAACATCTCTGTACTAAAGACTACCTCTGCTTTACTGCTGATAATCAAAGTCTTGTTATCTTTAAATGAGTCTGATGTACACAGGTAAAAAACATCAATGTAGTCAGAAATAATAGTGCACCACAAAAATAAAGAAGAATGGTAGCCCAGAATAACCATCATCATCATCAACAACAACTCACAGCTCACCTGATCTCCTGACCCCATGCTTGGAAGATCAGCCAGGATTTAAGGGCCTTCCAAAGGACCAGGAGGGTCAGGGCCAACCTAATCTCAGGGGGGAATGGTGTTCCAAGGGGCAGGCACAGTAACAGAAAAGGCACACTGGGTCCCACCAAATGACACTTCTTAATAGATGGAAGCCAGAGCACACACCTCCTGGCAAACCTGACGGGCCAAGTAGGGACAATTAGAGAAAGGCAGTTCCTGAAATATCCTGGCTCTGTTCCATGAAGGGCTTTATATGACCTGGGGAAAGTACCTCTTTGAAAGCCTGGAGAGTGGTATCAGTGATGCTGAAGCCTCTTTTCTATGATCCCCAAAGTTCTTGTGATCATCTCTCCTAAATTTAGCTGCAAACAACAGCAGCACTTTTCCCTATTCATTTTTTATGGGAAATGAAACAAAAATGAATATTATAATGCTCCAGTAGGTTTAACAGAAAACTTAGGGATAGACCTCAAGCCCATATTATCTGCCAAAGTCTCAGTTTTGCCCCCCATCCCAAGAGATGTCATCATATCATGGGCTCATCAACTATTTATTTAGCCCGTGAAGCAGTTTCTTGCCTCTGGTATAAACAATAATAATGAGCTAAGTGGATAATTCCGGTGTGCGACTAATGAAGATTATTTGGTCCCTGATCTTTAGCCATCTCAAATCCTGTCATGCTGCTTCACTGTGGTGGGAGTGTGTCCCTAGGAGGAATGAGCAAAGAATACCAGGAGTGTATGCTAAGAGTATAAATTCCTAGCAGGGTCATCCAAAATGTAAAGGTCATCCAAGCTGCCTAGCTAAAGCAATCAGGCACTTATATCAGGGAATAGCCCTCATCACCACTGTAACTGAGTCCATCCACTTTGCTGCTGGTCATTTTCTTATTATTATTCCTTCCACCTTTCCCCGCATTATAGATTTCTCAAGGGAGCTGGGTCTTCACATAAGTGTCCAAAATATGATAATTTGAAGGTCTATCTAAGTAGTCACTAAAAACTGACACTGACTTGATGGCATATAATCAATTGATCAATCAATCAATCAATCTATTTTAAATAGCTCTCACACTTAATTTAATATGGAGGATTGTCTTTTATTTTTGCTGTACGCACATACAATGTGGATTTTAAACTTGGTTAGAGACTGAACTCATACAGACAGGTGACTTTTATTCCTCCTTCCATATAGTTTATCCTACCTGTTACCTACTACACATCTGCTGGATTTTCACAACATGCTAGACTATGCTGAAATGGGTTTGGGTAGTTGTCAGCCCTGTAAGGTGGAACGGACTATGAAACAGACAATGCACACTTAAAGCTACTTTTATTAGAATAGTTATAGAATCTTGTGGGTCTGAATCTTTCCTCTGTTCTTCAAGGCCATCCTCTATACTCACTACAGTGGTTCAAGTGTATTGTGGGAAACCCAACCATTATCTAAGCATGAACCAAGCATGCTTATGTCTCTGTTATGATTTTGTTTGAGCATAGCTTGTGTTTGAGCAACTGTGTTTTCTTAACCTGGATTTAGGGGTTAACATATTGGAAATGCAGTGCTTGTTGAGGACAGGAATTAGAGAATCGTGATAATCTGGATCAATCTTACCTTGTATGATGCTGTCCCGACTAGAATCATAGTATGTAAAGTTTGAAGAAATCTTAGAGGTTCAACCCTCTAAGTCCCTTCCTATCCCCTATTGGAAGTCAATGCCTGCAGATCCCAACTGGCCTGTTTTTGAAATCAGAACCACATGGAATACACAAGACTGCAGAAAGATGTGCTATACCTTTTTAAAAAAAAATAATCTGGAGTAGTGTATGATATTTTAGTTTGACAGCTGCTCTGAGATTGCAATAATTGTTAATGCAAGCAGTCGTTTTCTTTCTTTTTTTAAGATTGGTCTCTTTGACTTGGAAGTCAACTGCCTCACCAAGATACTCTTTGGGGCCTTGGTGGTGGTCTCCCTTGTCATGGTCTCCCTTCAACACTTTGCTGGCCGCTGGTACCTTCAGATCATCAGATTTCTTCTTCTGTTCTCAAATATAATTCCTATCAGGTATAAATGTGTTTGTTGTTCTCCTTTAAGATAGTGCCATATTTTTGGTGATGTTCTTTTTCATTTGAGTCTTAGTCAAACATACCATAAATATGTTACCTAACCGGGTAGTGAAATGTTTGCAAGAAATGAACCAAGCTCAGAGAACCCCCAAGGACTCCACAGTTCAACCCTGAGCTACACATATTCACCTCTGTTGATACCATAAATAACTGATATCGTTCGCATCCTTATTGTAAGCCTACTTGTTTATTACATCACCACCCTTGTTGTTTTCAAATGAAAACTGCTTCCTTGAAGACTAAAACAAGCATGCTGGAAGTTCCTACATGATGTACTTGTTGATGGGTTCTGCTGTTTCAGACCATGGCCAAGTTTACATGAATGGGCGAGTTGAGACTCAGGCTTATCCACTTAGAGGATGAGAGTGGGCAGTGTCTGCCTTTCATTCTTCATTAGCAGCAAGCCAGATCCTGTGCTTTAAATAAATCACAGTTTCCCAAATCTGTGTGCCATAACAAGTGAACAGTATTTCCCTCATGTGCATGCAGAGTGGAGGGGGCAGCATTGCAAGAACTGACTCATTCATGTATATATTCATCTAAATAAACTATAGTTTGTTGCCTGAAAAAGGCCTAAAGGTAGAGTTGTGAATATTAAAAGAAGGAATGAGAAATTTGGGGCCCTCTGGATGTTACACAGCTAGCACTCCCCACATTCTTATCATGGCCTATGCTAACTAGCTCGGTTGAGTGGTATAGTTCATCAGCATTTGGAGTACATTGATTTCCCAGCTCCAGTTTGGGGAATTATCACTTTGAAAATATTCCTTATATTTAAGAAATTCACTTAGAACTTTTGGCTTGATGTATGTCATACATACAAGGAGTATTTTAAATGCAGGAAGTTTAAACATTAAACATAGAGAACAAATTACAGCTCTCTGTGTGGAGGACTCTAAATTAAAACTCCTTCCTACATTGAACTCTTTTTTTTTTTTTAAACAGGGGTTGAATCCATGCATCACACTAAGCCATAATGTGCATAGCCATCCATTCCTAAGCATTCTGACACCAAATTACAAAAAAATGTCATGATACAAGCTCTGTCCTTTTATACTTGTGTGACAATGTGGCAGAGTTTGCATAGTGATATCAATAGATGTGTTGTCACTCACCTTCCCTTCTGCCTTCCTGTGGATGCCTACGATAATGTGGTTTATTTTGAACTTAGTACAATGTGTGAACCAGAGTACTATGGCTTATTCAGCAAACCATAGTTAAAACCTGCTAGGCATTATGTTTGAAAACAGCTAGAGATCTAGTTTATGGATCTCCCATATATCATGTAGCTTAACTATGAATTTTGCATTGGATTACCCCATAGTCCCTATTATATTGTTTGTTAGTAATGGCCAGAGTTCAAATGACTGCTTCAAGCCACATCTTACCTTGTAGCAATTTTTATTTGGTATGATCCCTGTACTGGGGCACAAACGTCATCTGGAAGAACTCTGCTCACACCTGTTCCACTCTGTGGCTTTAGAAAAGTGAGAATGTGTTCCTGTAGAACCCGTATGGAAAGCAGCAGGTGGTTCATCCCTCATCTATTTTTTATCCCTGTGTCATCCAATGAGAGTTGCAATCCCACTCATCTAGATGGAACCAAGTTGGGGTAGGCTGCAGGGGACCAAACCTCTTCAAATATTGCTTCACACCACTATTTAAGGCATGTTTTTGAATAAATTCCTAATAACCTACTGTTGCTCCCCCCCACCATCCTCTCTTCCTTTCATGTAGTTTACGGGTGAATCTTGATATGGGAAAAATTGTCTACAGCTGGATGATCCGGAGGGATTCTAAAATTCCTGGCACAGTAGTCCGATCTAGCACAATCCCAGAGCAGCTAGGAAGAATATCCTATTTGCTTACTGATAAGACAGGTATTTTCATATATAGTTTTTTGCAAGACATAGAATCTGCTGCAATTTTTTGTTGTTGTTGTATTGGTAAAGATCATTGTTAAATCTTGGTGCATTTTTATGAATGTACGAAGTGGATAAGAGATACGTGACAAGTACAGAGTCACTTCCTTGTGAGATGGGTGGTGTCTAAATTCGAAATATAAATAAATAAAATAATATTTTCTGGCCCAAAGCCCACCTTTCACCCTTGAATGGTATGCTGGGCACTGCACTTTAAAAAGTAGTGGCTGGATGAAGGAGAAAAAGTAAATTTAATTCCATTTATATTTAATTAACATTTTAAAAATTGTTCATGTGATTACTTTCCTCCAGCGTATTTAATACTTTTCTGTCTTTTTTATTTTAAAACTTACAATCCTGTAACAGTATTGTGACATCTCTGGGGGTGGTTTTCATGGCCACATGTGGTCTTCAGGTTAATGCAGCCCTGGGGTTAGAGACTTGGAAATGGTTCTTGGCATTTGATTTGCTCTTTTCTGAGCCATGATATGTAATTTTATTCCTTTCCTAGGGACTCTAACACAGAATGAGATGGTTTTCAAACGTGTCCATCTTGGAACAATGGCTTATGGATTTGACTCCATAGATGAAGTTCAGAGCCATATTTTTAGCATATATACACAGGTAAGATCAACAAAATTATGAGAATATATCAGAGATAAGGAATGGTTGGATTCATAGATGTTCCTGAACCATAGTTCCAGCTTCAGGAAGTGATGCATACATCACTTTGAGCTCCTGTATGAAAGATGGAATATAAATCCATCCAAGCTAGAGGACCATGGGTCTCCCACTCCTGGAATATACTGTCTAACTAAACTCTGAAGAACCAACTTTTCGTTAAAACACAGCATTCAGTGCTACATGGCACACTGTTTTGAAATTGACTAAAATTTCCTTATTTGTAATATTCCTGACATTTTCCCCCATTCTACTTTCTTCAGTTTTCATTTCCACAGGAAAAACTGTTGAGGAGGGGAAAATATCGGAATGATTGCACGTCTTATAATGGGGTTTTGGTTTGGTTTGGTTTTGTGCCTTTGAGTCATTGTTGACTCCTGGCGACCGCCCGGGCCCCTCCCCGCCGAGTTTTTTGCAAGGGTTTTTTGGAGGGGGGTTGCCCGGGCTTCTTCCTCCCGCGTGGGG